ACTTTATTGTTATTAAAGATACTTAACATAAATTAAAAGATATTTGAGAATAGGAAGAATCTATATCATGAAGGGATCACTTTCCCGCAGCTGATACATACATTCAATACAATTCCAATAAAAATTGCACTGTTTTTTTTTTCATGAACTAACAAGCTGATTCTAAAATATATGAGGAAGATTATAGGCCAGGAATAGCCAAGAGAGTCCTAATAAAAAAAGAAGGGGAAGGGTTTCTTTTCTTGTGGATATCAAGATTTATTCCCATTATAAATCTACTATATTTATCATAAGGTCACATTAATACAGGCATGACCAAATTAACTGAAGAATAGAAGAGAGAGCCCAGAAACAGATCTGTGTGAAGAACAGTGAGGTGTATCTGTAGAGTTGGGGCCACAGGTCATTGAGGAAAAAGAATGTCAAGTTTATTGAATGGTGCTCAGATAATTGGTGAGCCATATGACAAAACATAAAATTAGGTATTTCCTACCAAACACAAAACTCAAATCTATGTAGATTAAGTATTAAATGTGAAAAACAAATTTTAAAACTACTATATTAAAATATAGAAGAATGTCTTTCTGGCCTTAGGTTAGGGAAGAATTTTTAAAATAAAACCTAAATATTTTCATTTAAGAAAAAGGATAGACAAATGTTACTGTTATATGTGAACTTCTGTGCATCAAAATAAATGATAAAAAATGAACCCATAACTGAACGAGGATATTTATAGTACATGTAGCCAATGTGGATATGTGAAAGATGAAATCTTGACGTTCAGTAAGAAAAGGACATTTCACTAAACAGGATGTACAACTGCCAAGAAACTTGTAAAGATGCTTATTTTTATCAGTAATGAGAAATATTCAAATTATGACCAAAATTAGAATTTAGTAAAATTTATTGCAGGTAAATGTGGGATTTGGCATAATTGTTTTGGAAAACAGTACTGTCTTATGTAATTGAATATGACTGAACTCTGTGAGCTGGCAGTCCTCCTTCTAGGTATGTAACTAAAGAAAACACTTGCAGACGCCTACTTGGAGGCATACACAGTTGTGCACATTAAGCAATGTATAGCAAAACACCATAAATCCACCAAATTGTAGGGACCCAAAACTCTGTCATGAAGAGAATAGATTCATAAATCACAATGTATTTATGTAGCCAGTGTTAAGAGCAACGAAGACTTTAAGCATGCCCAGCATCATGGATAAATGCTTTATACACGATATTGGGGGAAAAATAAGAGTACTAGAGAGTACCAGGAGACTTCACATACAGATTGCCATTTTAGTAGAGCTCAAAACCAAGGAAACTAAACAGTATATTTTAAGCATATGTGAATGCGATGTTAAGCACCAAATTCACAATGACTACTTCTGCTTGGGTAGAGGCCAGGAGTAGTGATAAGAGAGAAGAAACATATGTGTTGAGATGGGTTCAAGAAAGTTCATTATGTTCTATACCTTAGTACTAATATATAGTGTTATGAATAGTATATGTCACATAATATACTAAGAAGATTATGGTGAAAGTTTAGCAGGTCTTTTATAAACTATAGTGATTGATCTGTAAATATCTCATTTTGCAGCCAAATATTTTAGGTATATTAAAATGCCATTCTCTTAATTTAGTAAAGAATTTATATATCTTGAACTGTTTAGTCATATAAATCTGATTAATTCATTCAATACATATTTATCTCAACTATGTAGATTTTAAACATCTAAAAGATATCAGGCATTGTCTTAGAGGTTCAAAAGTAAAGCATACTCTCCTATCCCCTGCTTGAAGGTCTTCATATTTTGTAATAAGTAAAATTTGACTAAGGTCATTAGAGCACTTAAATATCTGTTTGGACATGATAGAAGGAATATATTCTATTACAACTGTTAAAATTAAACGTTAGGTATAAATTCAGATAAAATTCTTCCTAATATGAAAAATTCTTCACTCCTTTTAGTGGCCTGTGATTTTTTTAAAACTAATTAGAATTTGTGGAACTAATGGTAATGAAATTTGTGATAAATTTGGGAAGGTTATCCATAAAAGTATTGCAATTAAGTATGAAAATACCTATATTTTCTGAGCTGAAGTTTCAAGATATGGAGAACATGGACGGGCTTTCTTTGCAGAGTAAACTTTTAAAATCATGAATAGTTCCAATTGAAACCCATTTTACATTTTTTTGTTTACTTCATTCAAATGATATTTCCTAGTTTGCTTTAGTGACTAGTCTTAATTTTAGTTCAGTGTGAACTTAACTGAATATGTGTCCCAACAGCAGCAAGGAAGTGATTAAATTTAGTGGAAATTTGACAAATTGTGGAGAGAGTTCTTTTCATTTTGAGCAATAATATTCTTTGCAGAATATACATACTTTTAAATATTGTGCAAGTTTGGAATAACTTAGTCCAAAATTCTGATTCTTCTAGTTCTCTCAGTAGTACTGATGATTGTAATTTATTTCTTTTGAAGCTCATATGTTGTGTATAAAAGCCTTTGATATTTATTTTTAAATGCAGCTATTTCTTTTCAGTTTGAGGCATTTTATCCTACTCTTTTGTCTGTGTCAACTGCAGCTCCAATCACTGCCAGAGGCTAGTGCTGGGACTCTAAGACTTTGACACAATCAGTTGTTTTTTCGAGGTACTACGGATGTGTCTGAATGATTTCATATCTGTCCTAAATTAATTGTTTCTTGATTTTTGAAGCCCTATCCTGTTGTTATCCTTTGCTTTATTTGTCGTTTGCAGTGGCCATTTCTGAGTTGACGTTGAGAGGAGTTCCTTAGCTCTGGAAATGCTTACTAATATCTCATTTTAGGAAAGGGTTGATTGTTGTTTTGAGCCTGTGCCATAAGCTTTATAGGTTATGATCCTTACTGCTTTGTTCTTATTGTAAGCAAGGTATTATTTCCAAAGGATTATTTATGACTTTTTTTTTTTTCTGATACAGGGAATCAAACAAGATCTTGCGCTTTCGAGGCAAGTGCCGTGTCACTGAGCTAAACCCCGGCCCGACATTTTTTGGACTGATTGGTGTATACTAAAATTTTGTACTAAAATGCAAAGAACAGGAAAATTTGCTTATTTTAAAGTGTACTTTCTGGGCCAGGGATGTTGCTCAGTGGTGCCATGCCTGCCTGGCAAGTGCAAGGTCCCAAGTTTGATCCCCGTACTGAAATACATACATACATACATACATACATACATACATACATACATACATATATAAGTACATAAAGTGTATTTTCTGGGAAGATAGCTAGAAGGGGAATAGATGGGTCAGATGGAATTTCTAGTTTTAGTTTTTGAGGAATCTCATACTGATTTCCATAGCGGTTGTACCAAGTTTACATCCCCACTAAAAATATAAAACGGTTTCTTTTTCCTGTAGTCTTGCCAGCATTTGCTATTATTTGATTTGACAATGGCCATTCTTTCTTGGGTAAAAGGGAATCTCAGTGTTGTTTAAATTTGCATTTCTCTAATGGCCAAAAATGTTGAGCATTTCTTTATGTATTTATTGGCCATTTGTACTTCTTCTGAAAAGTGTCTATTATTTTACTTGCCCACTTTTGATTGGGTCTTTTATTTTGAAGGGGCCTAATTTTTTGAGTTCTTAAGAGTTAAATACATCATATTACAGTGATACACACATGTTTATAGCAGCACAGTTCATAACAGATAAATCTTGGAAACAGCCTATATGACCATTGGCAGATGAATGGATAAAGAAAATACGGTATTTACACACAATGGAGTACTACTTTGACATAAAGAAAGATAAACTTGAGTCATTTGTAGGAAAATGGATACACCTTGACACCATAATGTTGTGTGAAATAAATCAAAGAAACCCTAATTATAAATAAAGAGTAAGATAAAAGATAGATAGCAGGAAGTAGGGAGATAGAACTTTTTCAAATGGGAAAGGCATCAAGAAAGGGAGTGAAGCAAAGAGAAGGGAGGGAAAGGAGATGAAAAAAGAAATTATGTACATGTAACACCTCCACAGAAGGAATATAATCTTTACATACTGCCAACATGTACTAATAAAAAATACATATAGTAAATAAATAAAAATAAAGTGTACTTTCCACTGTAATCCTTAAACTCCATTTCAAAGTACAAAAATAAATAGTTTAGTTTTTTTTTAAATCTTAGAATGGCACTGGTAAGTAATTCATAATGGTTAATTCATTTACTAATGATGCATCCACATTACTACATGTGCTTAATAGCCTTCTATGAAAGGATCTTCCTGCATTTAACTTTTTGTTTCAGCATGTTATATAGACCTAACTAATTATTTATTTTCATATAATGTTGCTAAAAACCCTGAGGTTTTATTGCCCAGAAAAGGAACATTTTTTAAAGTGTATCAACAAATAATGAAAATGGAAAGAACCATTTGTTTTCATTTTTGTTGTTAATGAATTTCACTTTAAAAGTAACATTTTATTCTTTAATATGATTTTCCTTTTCTAATAGATAACTGCCTACAATAGGCGAACCTTTGAGACTGCAAGGCATAATTTGATAATTAATATAATGTCAGCAGAAGGTAGGTATGGAAAAATATGTTGATGATAATCTCCTTATTTATAAGAACTATTTCATTATATTTTGCAGCTCTAAAATATAGTTAAGGATTTTAAAGCATCACATACCTAATACAGCTGATGAAATAGTAAAATGTAGGAAAGAAACTAAGCAATATCTAATTTGTTATAAAATATCATGGTGTGTTATGGTGACGAACTGGTGGGGGTGAACAGATGGACCGTGGATTTCTCTAATTCTTGGTTTTGTCATCTGTAGAATGATATTAAGAAGACCCTCTCTCTCGTGAGTCTGTAGTAAGGATTCTGTGAGTAAAGTTTTGAAATGTGCTTAACACAGATCACAGAGTACACGATCAGTAGCGGCTAGCTAGTTTTATTTTATTTAAAAATTTACCATAGATTCTAGTTATGTGAGGATAAACTGTAATTTGGGACACAATTTTCTTGCTAAATTATCTAATGAGGTGCAATTGTTAATGTCCATGAGCAATTCAGAATTACACATCCTCAAATTATAAGTGACTTCCTAAGAATTTTGAAGGTTAGGGACAAGGAAAATATTCGAAGAGTTACATTCTCAAATGTTTTGACCCTCTTTTAGCAATTGACTGGGAAAAATACGTAGTACTAAAAACTAGTTAAGTTAACAAATCATAGAAGAATCCTTTCTATACCTTGATACCATTTGTGAAAGTGACAGGAGAGGAATTGGTACAGATATGTTTTCCTCTGAAAATATTAAAATAATTACAATAGGATATTTTTTGCTTTTGTTTGTTAGTAAAATTAAAATCAAGCAAGCAAAGCATAACAATTTAATCAAAATCTACTAATGTGGAATTTATGACAATTCAGTAAGTTTGGTAATCCATTCATGGAGAGACGGCTGGGAGACCTGAACTCCCTTAAGTGAATTCTTTCCAGTGAAATATCAACTGCAGATAACAGATGCACTAGTTAGAAATTTGAGGTGATCTTCACATACTAAAAACAGGTCCAAGGACCATTTCTGTGGGCTTGGATGGAAGACTCCTTGTACACTTTTTCACTTCCCAGAGGCTTTAAGCAGCTATTCATGTTTGGATCAAGGAGACGTTTTGGTCTTGATTACAGTTGTGATTGGGTGCTTGTATCCAATCTAAGCTGACTCTAGGGTTGGAATACCCTTATGAGCAGAATAGTGGTAAAGTCTTTTTCTTTCTCCTTGGCTATTAATCACGAGGTATGCAGTTAATTGTAGTGGGCTTAGGCCATTGGACCTTGCCCTTGTGCTGTCAGAGGGACTCAGATTGCTTTGCCCATATGGAAATCATTATAGCCTGGTCTACACTTTGCCCTTCCTTCTTCTCCAGACTGGTCTCAGTGTTGTAGAAGTAGAGTACACGGGGGCTTTTGGTAGGTGTTGTTATTGACATAAAGGAACCCATGATCAAGCGATGCTAATGGAAGACTGATAGATAGCCAAGAATTGGTGTTAGGGACTGTTTGTCTGAGTCAGGGGTTTGAAACTATGCTGTGAGGGATGGACACTAGATGAGTTTTGGAAACCTTCACCTTCATGTTAGGCAGAGCTCCTCCACTGCCCTTTATAAGGGGCACAGTGACCCCAAACTGTTGGAAAACCACTGAATTTAAAGGTCATGCATGTGTCCTTGCTGGTCTAGACAGAATATATATGCACGCTAGGATGAACGTCTTTGAACATGGCCTTCACTCATGCTGTTTGTCTCAGATAAGGTTTAGAGAAAGAAATAACAAAGTTGTAAATCAGGGTAATTGTGCACAGTCCAATTCCCTGCCCAACTGTCTCCTGTTCTGAGACCGAATGGGAAATTGGTCATGTAGACTCACACAGCGTGGAGCTCGAGGAGGGTAAAGAGATTCTCTAAATTGGGTTTAGTGCCTCAGAGGCCTGCCACCAATCTGTTGGCCTACTGTTCTCTTGGCCTCTGTGTCTTCCAAATATAGCAAGCATGGGATTTCCCCAGAGTTAGAAAGCTGCTGTGACTCATCTTTGGGAGGCCTGGCAGCAGCTCCTGGCCCAGGATTGAGCAGGCAGCTGCATGGCCCAGTTCCTGTGGGACAGAGTGCAGTGACAGGCTTTATGGCCTGTCTCAGGAAGGAAGCCACAAAGCTGGGTAATGTGGATCAGGAAAAGCCGAATAACAGTTTTCTAAAAAGTAGCATTAATAATTTTTAAAAGCTGTACATGCTCTTTTGGAAAACTAGATGTAAAATCATTGAATGAAATGAATGATTACAGACGCCTGACATATTCAAAAATTACATTTGTTATTAATTATAAATATTACATTATTTATTGCCAAGAAACTCTTCTTTGTAATTCATTTCTGCATGACTATTTCTAGGTTTGAGGAAAATGTCTTATGATTAAGCTACTATTTATCTGGATAAAAGAGGGAATATATCTGCATAAATGGGACGCTGCTCTGCATGAAAGAATCAATGGATCATATTGGAGAATACTGCAGATGGGCTATGCATTGAGCAAATCTAACAAAATCATAAACAGAATAGATGACAGTGTAGGAGAGAAGTAAAGAACTTTCTGTAACAAGAGCTTGAAGAGCTAAATCTTCAGGAAGAGTTGACACATTCCAGACAACTACTAAAAGCTTTGAATCCAGAGTTTCTCTGGCACCCAAAGGTCTTTAATATCAGAAAGGCTTCAAAAAAGTAAGATCAGGGCTGGGGATTTAGCTCAGTGGTTCTGGCGCCTGCCTCAAAAGCGCAAGGTGCAGAGTTCAATCCCCTGTACCAAAAAAAAAAAAAAAGTAAGATCATATTTCAGGTGCTTGTCATGTAATTTTTACTTTTTGTTTATTTGTTAGGAGTAAAGCCTTTATAGATTCATGGATTTTGTTGAAATAAATCAGAGGCTATGCATAGTAAAATTACTACTAGGGACTTTACATCTGTGTACAGTCCAGAGATGTTTTCTTGTCCTTATAAACAATTCAGATAATTGACCATTTCATATTAATGTAATGAATTAAAATATTAATATTGTATAAATTCTTACTGCATTTTAGAACACTGCTGAGAATTTGTTAGTCTCCTTTAGAGAAAAATTGTATGAGGTAAGTTCCTGGACCTCTCTAAAGATAAACTTCCTATCTTGAAATATAGGAAATATATAAGGACCTGTTTGCTTTCCTCTTTGAGAATTAAATGTTATAATTCACCTGTGTCTTATCAGACCTGCTTCATTATAGATGTTTCTTAAAACTTAATCTTTATTATTAAAAAGTAGTATTAAATAAAGAGAAAGCTAGTTTTTTTTTATCTTAATAGAGCAATCACTCTACCAAATATGGTTAGTAATTAAAGAGTAACAGTTTAGAAGCAAGTACTTTTATATTTACTGAGAGTCTCTTACATCGAGAGTCAGTTTTTGGGTTGATTTAAAACATTAACTTAGAAATGTTCAAAGGAGAATTTTGATGAGACTTGAGCAGAAAGCTAACTAAATTTATAAGGATGTGAGATATAGAATTGCATGAAAACTTTATAATTTTCTAGGATATTCAACTATAGAATGGTCAAAATAAAATTGCTCTGATCTTTAGAATTCTTATTGGATATATAATCAATATTTGCTGTAGAAAAAAAGTAATGCTTTACCTTGCTCCAAACAATATTAATAATATAATGAATTTAAAATACAGATTTAAGGGTTTTTTTTTTGCCATACCCTGTAATTATAAAGTGCTCTGCTGGATTTTACTGTATTATAGTAGCATTCTGTGTCTTATGTAGCCTGTCTTTGTAGGTCCATCATCTGTTATATAGAAAGACTTTAAAGTTAATGCAATCTTTCCTCTGTATTCACAGGCCTTGATTTGTGGGCCCTGTGGGGGGTTACCCCACAGTCTGTAGGGGTTCTCAGGTTCCTCATAGAAAATGACCGAGATTTGTTCATAACCTGTACACTTCCTCCTGTTTGCATCACCTCTATGTTACCTCTCCCTCATACAATTCAAACGCTATGTAAATAGTTGTTATAATGTGTTGTTTAGGAAATAATGACAGGAAAAATTCTGTATGTGTTCAGTATAGACACAATTTTTTTAAAATTTTAGGTTCACAGTCAGTATAATCTGAGAATAGGCAGCCAGTGGATATAGAGAACAGATTGGTATCATATTGCTGCCTCCTGATAGGATTATGACAGAACTTGACAAATCTCAAATTGTTCTTTTGTTTAAAAAAACCCTACTTCATTAAAGGTATGCATATCCCTTTTTGTTTTACCCAAATTAGACTTCCCGTTGCCATATCAAGCAGAATTCTTCGTTAAAAATATGAATGTGGAAGAAATGTTGGCCAGTGAGGTTCTTGGAGACTTCCTGGGCGCAGTTAAAAATGTGTGGCAGCCAGAGCGCCTGAATGCCATCAACATCACGTCAGCCCTAGACAGGGGTGGAAGGGTGCCGCTTCCCATTAATGACATGAAGGAAGGGTAAGCACACTTTTATGAAATTGCCTTAAATATGGATTTTTATCCATGTTTAATACGATGAAATTATCAAACTTATTATAGTTGGAAAGTAGCCTATTGCATTTTTCTTTTTAATAAGAAACATACAATAAAGATATGAACATACTAGCAATTTTCTATATTGACAGAGACTTGTGTTAATGATTCTTTAACTCTCAGGTCCTAGGTCCTGTGAAATCTAATTGTAGATCAGTATGAGGATCCTAAATTATAGCACTAAGTTTTCTGTACCTTCCATAAAGCTGATTATTTAGGGTCATGAATTTTGATGGAAATTGATGCCCAAGTTATCAGCTGTAGAAGGATGCACCGACTGCTGTAATTTTATTCTAGGAAAGTATTTCTTCATCTTTAACATTCTTTCCACCATGTGTCGGTGACTGATGGCTGGAGTGAATTTGAAACCTGTTCCTGTGACACGAGACCCTAAAGCCTGGTCTTGTCACTCACAAGCTGGGTGACATTGGCAAATGCGTGACCCCTCTGTGCCTCAATTTCCTCTTCTGTTCCATTGGGGGTAATATTCTCTCAGGGTTATTGTAAAGACTAAATGCATTTGAAAGGAATGTGTCAGTTTTCACACAGTGCAAATATGAAGTATGGCTTGTGTCCTTAGAAGTCAGGGAACATTCCTGCCTGGGTAAATTGAAAGCATCAGTGTTAATATCAAGTTGAACTTTCACCTTTAATTTCTCATCTGTGGATTGGTACAGGATTGCTTTTCCTCCCATCCTGTAGCACACCGTCTGTGGAATAAATCACATTTGGCACAGCATTTCCCCTTTCTAACTCCTCCGTTGTCCATAGTCCTCCTGGTAACGCTTTTGTACAGAAGATATCTGAAATTAACTAGGGTACCTGGATTAGTAAGAATTAGATTTCAGGGTAGCTTTAAAGGAGAACTTTGTTGAAAATAACAGAAAAGATCAGAAGTACACATAAATGAAGTCTAAGGGAGTAGGCAGAAGGGAGATGGGGAAAAGCAATGATCTATAAAGTCCAACTCAAAATTTTCCGAATTAAGTTTTATCTTCTGCATGACAGCAGTGAATTTTGAAGTCAGTCAAGCACACCTAGAAGTGCTTTGAGGAAAATAGTTGGTTTATCTCTTCTTTATGGGCTAGTTGGCTCTCTATGTGAAAACATAATTCTAGAGCTTAAATTTTCACTTCAGGGTTACAATATGGGTCTCTTTCCCACCAAGTAATTTAAAAAAGTGGAACTACAGAACAGGATTAACAGGGGAATTCTGACAACATTCTTCAAATATGAAACTTTTCAAGAGTTTTCTTACTGTGTTCCATGACAATTGTTAAACAACCACCAACAGGTGTTGGAAGAAGCAGTACAAAAACCAGCCACTAGTGGAGTTTTTCATAGTTTTACTTCCTACTGGACTCATGAGTAGTGCCGACTCCACTTTTAGAACCTGAACTACACTAAGTTGAACTAAGCAACTCCATAAACCAAACTCTGACCTAAAGCAGTGGTTTCCAACTGCAGTGATACTCCTTTGTCAAACTCAATTCAGTCCAAATTCATGTTCGAACACTGAAAAGTTCAAGAACTGAACATAGGTTTTCCATAAGAAATACTGGAAAACCAAATAATTAGTTCAAAACCCCCCAAATTACACTTTTAAATTCTTTTTTCCAGGACTTGAACAAATTTCACAATGAAATTTTCCCAGTGAAATCTTTCTTTAACTGTATCATAGTTATCAGAGTTTTCCTCTTAGCTTTACTGCCAGTATCACGAGCTTTCTTTGGAGCTGTGGTTATGATCTTATACACAAATAAAGCACAAAAAAAGCACAATGACCCATGTTTTAATGCACTGACACAAGCACTGTATGTTGTCTGGGTGAGAGTGGCGGTTAGACTGAAGCGTCACCCCTTTGTGTCTGGGGAGAGACAAGACACACAACAAGTTTGGTCTGTACAAGTTTTTCAAGTTGAATTTTCAATTCGATTATTGAGCAAAATTATGAACACTGAGCAGATTTTTGAACTTTGCTGTTCAAGTAGTGGGAGTTTTGAGCTTGGAGCTATTTGATAACCGAGAAATCACTGTACAGCCATCCTGAGAATCAGCAGAAGAGCATTACAAATATGGATGGGTTGGTAGTCTCTGATAACCATTAGAGATTCTTATTCTTTAAGCCTAAGGCTGGGCCTGAGCATGTGACTCTAAATTAAGAACATAATTTTTGCCCTCCATGCACTTGTTGAGAATTCAGTCATTAGCTGACTGACCCTCAACACCTGCTGGAGGGCAGCATATGCTGTCAGCTATTTGCAAGAGTCAGTCCTGTGGCATTTATTTAGACTCTTGTCTCTCAGATCCCTTCCCAACTTGAAATGCTTTCCGTGAGTTTTCATTTAGTGTTAAGCCTTAACCTTTGCAAAATATTCTTATGAGAAGTCTTTTAAAATTGCATTTCTATAAATTGTACCCAGTGCCAACTCTATTACTCCAGAGGCCCTATGCAAGCCCCAATGAAAGAAGATCCTGCTTTGACTTATAAGAAAAGTTTATCCCCAGACATAATTTTGCATGTTTTCTTTTGTTGTCATATAAGATCATAGTAACAAAACAATTATGTTAGTCTTGTTGCCTTAAATTTGGAAATAAACCCCATGCTTCATCACCTTTGTCACTTTCTTTTCCCTTTCACCATGTATATCTTCATTTTAATTCACTTAATATACTTTTTTCCTCTGTATTTTCTTTTACAAATATTATGGGCTATAAATCCATTTAAAAATGAAAAGATAAGAGTTGGGCCGGGAGAGCTCAGTGGTGCCGCCACCTGCCTTGCAAGCACAAGGTCCTGAGTTCAATCCCTGGTACCAAAAAAAGAAAAGAAAAAAAGAAAGAAAAGATAGGGTTAGAGATAACCAAGGAATTGCATTCCTTGCTTTTGTGAAATTTTATTTAAAAACACATTTCTGTTCAATCCCCGGTACCAAAAACCAACCAAACAAACAAACATTTCTATACTTCAGAAGTACTAACTAAGCATGTAATCATTGTGTTCTGCTTAATACTTAGCACAAGTCCTGGTCTAGATTCAGAGAAAAAAGATCTCCATGAAGTTATCTCCTTTGTTGTGGCAGCCACGATCTATTTATTACCTGCAGATTGTTTATATTTAGTGTATGTAGTCAAATAAATGGCAGATGACTAGGTGTAGCTCTCCATGGTAGACCTATGCAAAACTGTGCCCTTCTGTGGCCTAAAGCACCATGAAATATCAGTCATTGAGGACCCACCCTGCAACATCCCAGCTTCTCAACCTTCTTGATGAGCAGAACTGACTGACAGGTTTCTAACTTTTCCTAAATCAAAGAGAAAACAATTATAAAGATTTACTTCAAAGTGAGTAAGCTTCTGCAAAGGACAGCTGAGCCCTCCGAAAAGACTCATTTTCACTTGCCAGATTTGTAACTCCAGTGCAACTGTACTGCCTGTGGACATGGTCCTTGTGATGCTTTTGCTCCTGACACTGAGCCAGACTTAGGGATGTATTTAGCCTGGGATAAAACGGGTGGAAAGAAGAGCAGGTTCATATTTCAACAAAGGCGTCTCATAGCAGCCAACCCTGGCTGAATGATGTGGTGTAAATGGTGGCTATGAAGGGAATGATGAGGTGTGAGGATAAAGAATATGCTCACTTTTCATAAGAGATTGTCAGAGCAACCACTGTTTCCTCTAGTTACCAAAGACTTTGGATCTAGCCTCAACCAGCAATAGAGAATCTTAGTATGTCTTTAGTTTTGAGGACTTCTCAAATAGTCCCTCTCGTCAATTATCTGATTTTTTGCCCTATATCAAGACCTCAGTGAAAAGATGCTGGAGGAGAAGAATGTAAGCCATTGGCTGCAAATATTGTTCTTATCCAAAGTGATTCTCCTGGGCCAGTTCTGAAATTGTCCTCATCTTTGATAACTTACAGGATTACTCTTTATTAAATAATGTCCCTCCAGTATCTTGGTTCATCTATCCCTTCTTCTAAGAAATAGTGGTGATAGGAGATAGAAAATTTTTTAATTCATTAAGGTTATTGGTACATTTTAGTTATACAGTATGATGACATTCACTATTGGGAATTTACATAATGTATCTTGGTTCTTATTTTTTTCCCATTCCCCTGCCCTCCCTTCACCCCCTCCACATCTCCCTGTTTAAAAATACTTTGTTTCCTTTTTTTCTTTTCTCATATTTATTCCTTTCTGCTACCCCTCCCACTTTCCCTTCCCCTTTGGGCCTTTTCTTTCTATTTCACATTATCTATTATACATTTTGATCCTTATTTACGCTTTCAGTTTCTCACACTAGAGAAACTATTTGGTATTTACACACGTGTGTCCTATGTATTTCACTTAAGAGTATGCCCTCAATGTGCATCTATTTAGCTATAAATGTCTCTAGTTTTTCATTCTTTATGGCTGAGTAGTACTCTATTTTATTTTTTTAAAACCCGCGTCTTCTTTTCCAGTTGATGGGCACTTGGGCTGTTTCCAAGCTTTAGCTATTACAAACTGTGCTGCTATGAACATGGGTGCACATAAATCACTGGTATGATTCTTTTAATTCTTTGGGGAAGATCCCCAGCAGGGGAATAGTTGGGTCAAATGGAACCTCTGGTCCTAGTTTTTTTGAGGTAGAAGATAGAAATTTTTGAAAATGCCATTAAAATAAAAGTTTGAAACTCTCATCAGTTCATTTTTTTATGTGTAAAAAGATGAATACATGCACATCTGTGTTTGATATCTATTATACGTTGTTTAACATTAAGTATTTTTTATGGAAGAAGATTGTGTTTGTTTCTAGGGTGCAGCAATTTAAAAAATAAAATTTATGCTCACAATCTAGGCAAGTAATTGGATAATTACAAGCAGTGTTGTGAGTACAGCTGAAAGGATTAGCAGAAAGGACTCCTCCCTCACTTCACATCC